GAATCAATGCATCTGAATCATGCTGCTGGCCCCAAATACTGAAAATACCATGGGCTGGCAGAAGAACACACAGACGGCCAGAATCCTTAGAAGCCAGGCTGGTGGGACTTCACTGGTGCCTGGAAAAGGGCGGCCTGTGAGGTAGAGCGGAGGGGCAGCGGGAAAGAGGAAGTCCCTGGAGAGATGGAGGGACACGGTGGCTGCAGCAATGGGCTCAAACACAAGAACAACGGGAGGATGGTGGATTTGTCCTGCTCTACAGAGGGTCGATGGGAATCCCAACAGACTCCAGGGCACCTGGCAACCGCAGCCGCGTCTCCTCCCTGCCACCAGAGCCACCGGAGAGCTGTTCTTGAGAGAGTGCGCAGAGGCAGGCTTTGAGGGAGCTCCTCCCAGAAGGCCGGTGAGCTGCTGGAGGGGCCACAGTGGAGGCTGGGAGCTGGGCTCTCCGAACTCAAGGCTCTGGAAGGACCAAGTCATTAACTACTCGGGGTAGCTGGCGGCTTGGGGCCTGTGGCAGAAGCTGGCCATCCCTCCTCTTCCTCCTCCTCTGCGGCCGGCTGTTGAGCTACTTGGTCCGCACACTCTCAGCCTCAGGTTCCCAGTCCTCAAAGAGCCCAGCATCGTGTTGCTCAACCCCTGGGGTTCGGGGGTTGTGGATGGGGTGACTGAAGGGCACGGGCATGAGCAGCTGGTACTGGACTCACCTTGAAGGAGCCGCCAATGCCAAGCAGGTTATAACAAAAGGAAGAACTTCATTGTCCCGGCTCCTGGCTCAGTGGATTCATATCCAGAGACTGAGCCCCAACCTCCCAGTCCGGGGGGGAGCATTTTATCAGGAAGGGCTGTGGATTCGCAGGGTGGTCTGTGAGCCAGCCAGCCAGATCACACAGAAGCAGAAAGAAGCTGTTGCACAGGGCTGTAGGGGAAGAGGGCTGGCCAGCAGACAGCAAGAGGCTTACAGAAGTGGAATTGGGGGTGCCGAAGGTCATGGGGGGCTTTTCCACATCCCACAGGTTTCCTTCTTCCGCAGCAGTGCTTCGTCTCTGTCTCATCGCAACCCTCCCTCACCATGTGACCTTCAGCCCCACCAGTTGTCAGAGCCAAGCCGTCACCTGGGCCCCTAGTGCCGCCCCAGGGCCAGTTGAGCACCAGACAGCAGGGCCTTGGAGTCCAGAGCACAGGGGTGCTGGGTGTGTAGCATTTCCGAGGCCCTGGCTCTGGCTGCCTCCTCCTCCTTGGCATAAGGCTGATGTTATATAACAACCTGGTAACCCTCATCTGACCATGTTGATAGTGAGGAACAGGGGGTGCGTCTACTCATGAGGACAGCTACACAAGTATCTGTGATCGACGTGTGCTGTCTCCCCAAATATGAAATGATGTCCTGACCTTTGTCCCTGTCCTGTGAACCTGTTTGGAAGCGGAACTTTTTTTTTATGTTAAGGAAGCCCTAGAGAATGAGTGGGTCTTAAGCTGCGTCACTTCTGAGTTATAAAAAAGAAAATAGAAACCGGGTTAACACGCATGGAGGTGGTGTCTGGCCTCCTCTCACATCGCTGGGGAAGGAGACTTAAAGTCGGAGTCACTGTCAGGTCCTCACCTAGAAGACAGAGGTGCTATCTTTAACCTCCTTGACCTATTCTTACACCAGTGTGCCTCCCAAGGCACTCACACTTCTGTGCTGGGTTCAATAACTCATTGTAATGACCACGTGGAGCTCAGACGCCAAAAGCACACTGATAAGATCTGCGTGTTCCTACTCACAATTCAGGTTCAGAAATGCCCCCGAAAAAGTTCTTCTGGTCAAGAGTGCCTCTCCTCAGTTGTGCCTACAGGGATGCCTTTCTCCGGGTCCTTGACCTCCCAGCTCTGGGGCCCTCCACCTTTGCCCAGCTTGAGTGTTACAAAGCTCTTTGGCACTGTTGATGAATGCCCCGAAGGCCTACCGTTCTACCACGCACCTCAGCCCAAAGAGCTCAGCTCTGGTTCTGTGCAGGCAGCAAATCTAGCACCCCCAATTAAATGCCTGGAGGCACCCTCTCTGCAAGTGAGCCTCCTGCCCGAAGGCACTCAGCATTCTTGTTCTGTGGGCCAGGAGGGCCACGGCTCTGAGTGCTGCTGCCGCTGTCACTGCTCCTGCCCCCCCACGTTCCTGGTGTCACCGCTCGGGAACCCGAGTTTGGGAGATTGTGTGCGCAGGAATCCTCTGGTCCAGCGCACAGGCTCTGCTCCTGGCTCTTCTTTCTCGATGGCAGTGCAATGCGCTGTTCCTCCTTCGAGATGGTGAAACTGTCCAATCCCCACAGAAGAGCGCCATGTGCCCTGTGTGTATGTCTCCACCAGTCATTTGACGGGAATTATACCCCTCTGGCCAGAAGAGCCGCACCCACGAATCCACTGGACCACACACGGAGAAGATGGACAGGTCACCTAAGTACACACCAGGGAGTGCCACGGACTGTTGCCAGAGTCAACTCCCATGCATGAGAACCCTCAGGACAGCAGTCCTGCCCTGTGGGGTTTCCAAATCTGCCCATCTTTATGGGGACAGACATCATCTTTCCCCTGCAGAGAGGCCGCTAGGTGCAAAACACCCACGTTTCGGTTAGCAGCTAAGTACTTCACCATGACATCACCTGGGCTCCTTCTGCTTGCCAGCGGACCCCAGGGATTAGGGGAGACCCACCTGACATTAGAAAGAGGTCACTTACATGGCTGAGCCCCTGACTTGAGCCCCACCAACTTGTGGTCTACTGGTGCTAACAGCACCACGTAACTAAGACGGTGTTTGTCTCTGACGAGGGTGGGGGCTTCAAAAAGGTCATGGGAAAATTCTATGCTCTCTCAATTCCATTTTTCTACAAAACCTTGGAAGCCCCCTCATACATGGAGAGAGAATGACAAAGGACAGGTGACGGAGTGTTCACATGGTGTTAGCCTAACGATCTTGGGCAACGAGTCCATGCTTTCTTTGTTCTGTTGTGGCAACCTCAAGTCTGGAAGTATTTCAGAACACAAGAGGTCCGTGTTTCCCACCTCTTACCTGCTGGGGGAGCCCTGGTGGCCTAGTCGGCTACTGGTCTGGCTGCCGGGTCAGTAGTTCAAAAAAACCACTGGCCACACTCTTCGGGAGAAAGAGGAGGCTTTCCACTCCCATAAACCTGGAAGCCCACAGGGGCAGTTCGACTCTGTCCTGTCGGGTCACAACGAGTCAGAGTCAACTCCAGGGCAGTATGTGAACCGAACTTGGAGTTAGAGTGACTGGCAGCCTCACTGCCTAGGTTTGCATCCCAGAAGCCCCCTGCCATTCCCTCGGGGCTCTGCTGACTGAAGCTCAAGCCATGGGACACAGGCAGGGCAAATTCACCCACCCATGAACAAAACAGGATTTAACCACCTGCTTAGAAAATCATAATACCCCAAACCTGTTGTTTTCAAGTCAATTCTGACTCATAGCAACCATTTGGAACAGACACGCCCACCCCCACCCTCAGGATTTCTGAAGCAGACTGCCACGCCTCTCTTTGGGGTGGCTGACTACTCTATCCAGTGATCTTTCAGTTAGAAGCCAAGCCCTTAACCACTGCACCACCAAAACCAAACCAAAGTCGCTGCCATGGATTGGTTCTGCCTCCTAGTGGTTACGCGCTGGGCTGAGAGCCACAGGATAACCATTTGAAACCAGCAGTCGCTCTGTGGAAGGAAGATGCGGCTTCCTACTCTGATCAAAATGCAGAGTTTTGGAAACCCACGCAGCAAGTTCTGCCCTGTCCTGTGCGCGCGCGTGTGCGCGCGCTCAAACCAGACCAAACCGAACTTAATGCTGTCAAATCGATGTTACTCAGAGTGGCTCTCTGGGACAGGGTAGAACTGCCCCTGTGGGATTCTGAGACTGTAACTCTTTATAGGAGTAGAAAGCCTTACCTTTCCCACAACAGAACGGCTGGTGATTTTGAACTGCTGACCTTGAGGTTAGCAGCCCCATGTTTAACCACCAGGGCTCCTGCATGTATATACAAGGGAGTTTCCAAAAAGTCATGGGAAAAATTCCTTTATCTTTCCTATAGATTTACATATACGAACATGTTATTGTCATTGGTGTAAACGTTGATGGAGCAAATGAGCCTCCCATTCAACCGTGTGAGCCCACCTTTTATTCTGTGACCCTGGCTGCAGCCCCCTTGGTCTCGTCCTCTTCCACTTCCTCTCTGGGCTCCCGGTTTTCATCCCCGCTTCTGTCCTGCCTTCCTGATTCTGTTTCGGGCAAATGCTGCCCTGTTTGTCTTATATGGCTCCACTGAGGAGGAGGGCATGTCTCCCTGATGATGTTATTCACGTTACAGGCCTGTCGATGTACTGTTCGACTGAAAGTTGGTCCCCAAGGGCAGGCATAGTTTCTGGCTTGCAGAGCATCTCAAGTGTCTGACCAGTTGCTATCGAACCAGCAAGCCTGGTCTTCTTTGGAATTCACCATGGAGTGCATCTAAGCCTGCCTAGTGGGGACCTAGGACTCATCTACTTGGACTGGTTAGTGCAATGAGTCAAAGACCCTTAGGATGAGACAGGCCCTTGGTTTCTTTAGTTCCACCTATGTCCCAGCCTGTGTGCAGGGCCTCTAGTTCTTCCTACTACCACGAGACTGAGGGGTGCTGCTGCTGCCTGGAGTGTAGGTGAGGGATGGAAGCTAGGAAGACATTAGATTACACGTGGAACTTCTAAGGAGTTCTCTGAGTCTCATACAGCTCCTTCAGCAGAGTGAAGGCAGGGCTAGCTTCTTGCCTTCCTTCTCCCCCAGACCAGACTAGGAACCAAAGCAAACACGTAGCCATGGAGTCATGGCTAAGCCCCGGGGAAGCCCTGTGGGTGTCCGAGGCCCGAACTGCTTATGGGAGTAGAAAGCCCAGTCTTTCTCCCATAGAGCGGCTGGTGGTTTCGAACAGCCAACCACGTAGATTGCAGCCCAACCACCTGGGCTTCTAGACTAGGAGCCCGAAGACTGTAAATGCATGAGGTCGTTTATTTGGGGACACTCTCCCTCTGCTCCTTCCTGCCTCAGCAACTAGCTCAACGGATACAACACAAGCGTTCCTTCAAGAATTTTTGTTTTTTTGCTTGTTTTTAACTGAAAATTAACTAGGAGTGGGGCACGACTTCAGGGTCATAGTGTGTATGACATACATGTTAGTGCCTATCCACATGGGCTTACAGTCTGCTGGGAGGAGGGGAGACTGTGGACATGGTAAGGGATACATAAGTCAGGATAGGCAGCATGAAGAAAAAGAAAGAGGTGCCACGAGTCTAACAGAGGGTCAGGAAAAGCTTCCTGAGACAGGAGCATAAATGCTGAAGCCTAAAAAGCCAACAGGTGGAAGGTAGGCAAAAGGGAGGAGAAAGACCACTCCAGGCGGAGCGAGTGAGGAAAGAGTGAGGGTAGAGCTTGCATAGTGGAGGACAAAAGACCCGCGCGTGAGCACTGCAGACTGAAGGGGCAAGAGGCCATCGTAAGATGGGAAGACGGCAGGTAAGCCGGGTGCCGCATGCCCTGTGGAGACATTCCGTTTTGTTTTAAGTGCGTTGGCTCAGAGCAGTGAAGGAACCCAGTTTAATTTAATTTTTAAAAAGTCATTCTACAGAGTTGGGGATCATATATTATGACTGTCTTAAATGCCCCTAAATTGCATACTTCAAAATGGTCAATTACGTGAATTTCACCCCAGTTGATAAGAAAAAAAAAATCACTCTGCCCCATGAAAAAAGTGAACTGGAGGGACAAAAAGAATAAAAGGGGAGGTGGGGTAGTAGGCCACTGCTGTAACTCAGGCAGGGAGTGATAATGGTTTGAATTCGACACAGAGCAGTAGAGATAGAACTAGATGGATTTGAAATAGATATTGAAGGTAGATCCCATTGGATTTCATGATGCACTGGATGTAGGGAGCAGGGACGAAAATAGTGTCAAGTCTTTCTCCGAAAATTTTGGCCTTGGCCAACTGATTGGAGTGGAGAGAGGTGCCATTTACCGTGAAAGGAAAGACCAGGAAAGGGGTCCCTTTGTGTCTGAGGTCTCTGGGAAGCCATCCAGATGGATACATAAACCGGAAAGCACCCACACACCATTGGCATTTGAGAGCCTGGGAATGGGCCCTGCTGTCGGAGGAAAGAGCACGGAGCTAGAGAGCAGCAGATAAGAGACGCCCACGGACCCTGGGGAAAGCCAGTGCAGAGACGAGGTAGAGGAGGGAGATGTGGGGAAGGGGATCCAGAAGCAATGACCCAAGAAAGTGAGGAAACACCGCGATGGCTGATGCCACTCAGTTTGAGAGGAAAGAACAGTTCAAAAAGGTAAGTCTGGTCAACTCGTCACAGGTTTCTGATGGTCAGGGGCAGGGAGGCCATGAAGAGCAGGGGGTGGCTGTCTTCTCACGTCTTGGCCAGTTCACCTATAAACGTATTCCATGCCTTCTCCCAGGTCCATAGAGCATTCTTTTTCTCGGAAGGCAGCAGGGCACTGTACCTGCAGGAAAAGAAGAAGGCAGGTCAGCTCGGGGAAAGGGAGGGGATTAAGACAGGGAGTAGAAGAGATCTCAGATGTTCACAGGACACATTCTCCCAGTCTGAGGACGGGAGGGAAAACCCAAAGTGACCATCCAGTCTTCTACCATAAACTCTGGAAACTTCTGTTAACTTCTGTGGATATAGATATAGATAGATAGATAGATAGATAGATAGATAGATAGATAGATAGATAGATATAGTTACCACAAATAGAAAAAGGACACGACGGGGAGGGTGGGGGAGGCATGGGAAATATGCAAGGATGCTCACTTGAAAGAATTGATGGCCAGTTGTTTGAGTGTCCTCAGGTCAGTATCCATACCCCCGATGCCCATGAAGACCTCATAGAAATCATAGGTCAAGCCTTTGGCACCAAAGAAGGCTGGGTCATCAGAGCTGATCACCATAGGGTGCCCAGTGGCCAGGAGAGCAACCGCAGGGTGGTTTCGCAGGTCACTCACCAGTTTCAGAACCTGCCCAAGAGCAGAGAAGGGAACAAGATGAACTTGGATCCTGAAAAGGGGTTATCCCAAGGGAGAGGAGACCTGGAGCTTCATTGGCTACTTCCTTAGGCCCATCACTGGTCTGAATTTTGGGATGACTCCTGACACCAGGAAAATCGATTCATTCTTCACGCACTTCCTGATTTTTTCTAGTGTCATCAGCACCGCACACTTGTGGTTTGCTTCTTTCTTTTTTTTTTTTTAAATTTTTTTATTTTTAAATCAATTTATTGGGGCTCATACAATTCATAACAATACATAGATCAATTGTATAAAACACATCTATACATTTGTTGCCCTCATCATTCCCAAAATTCGCTTGCCTCTTGGGTTCCCGGAATCCGCTCATTTTTCTTTTTTTCCCCCTCCCCTTCCCTTCCTCCTCCCCTCTCCCCCATGCACCCTTAATAATTTATAAAGTTTGCTTCTTTCTTGGTCCTGCTCAGAAGAGCTAGACAGATGGCTGCTCAAAGGAGCTAAGATATTGCCCTTTCTTCCCACTTCAGTGGGCTTTGTCAACATCCCTTCAGCTTTGCCCACAGCTTAGGCCAAAATTCCATCCCACCAGTGGCTCTCACTGCCGCCTCATTATAAGTGAGTTAGACAATAGGCGAGTCCTAAAAATCTTTAGGAAGCATTAGACTGCTAAAGGCAAGGTCAGTGGTTCAAACGCACCCTACGTTCCTCAGAAGAAAGATGAGACTATTTGCTCCCATTAAGATTTACGACTTCGGGAACCCTAGAAAGGGTCCTTATGAGTCGGGTCAGAATTGACTCGATGGCAGTGGGTTTGGGATTTGGTAAAAAAAATCTTTATGAATGGGGGTGTGAAACTTGAGGAATACAGGAAACATATATGTTATGTAGAGAGAAACCGTACAAGACAAAAGCTTGAGAAACAGGGCAGAGGTTGAGGCTGGGGTCAAAGGTCATATTGCATCAGCACCATGGGTCCTACCTACCTGGTTGGAAACAGGGCAGACTTCTATGGGGACGTCCCTTTGCCGTAAGTCTTCCATGACTGCCGGGTGTTTGCTCAAGGCAAACCCATGTCCAATCCTGGTGGAGTTCAGTATCAGGGCGTCCAAAAGATTATTGTCTACGGAAGTACCCCGCCAATCTGAGCATGGAGAGACAGTCTTCAGTAGAAATGTATCTGACCCACACCCAAAAGCTCCAGCTCCCACCCCCAGCAAGAGAAGGAAGAGAAGCTAACATGAAATAGATACACATACTGTAGGTATGCACATACGCAGCAGATATGATTTTCTCTAAAGAAACATGCTATTGTTCTGGTGTGTGTGTGTGGGGGGGGACCAAGGAGAAAATTATAAGTTTTGCTTTATAAATGGGCTGTGAACATTCCACTTGGAAGGAGAAAACTGAGTTTCACTAAAATGGATGGTGGCGATGATTGCACAACTTTAAAAAATACGTTTAGACCATTGAATTGTATGATATGTGAATTCTCTGTCCATGAAACTTAACATGAAGGAAAACAAACAGACTGGGCTTTAAGCCCTGGTCTGTCTGACCCCAGTTTCCAGCTTCTTTCCCCCGTCTTTGTTTATTCCCACAGCAATTTTCTGGGAATTTTAGACTTAGAGCTTTTGTTTTGCAGATTCTATTATACACAGTGTCAGTATAATTATGTACAGTATTGACTTAATCTACTTGCTAGTACCCTTGGGACATGGCCCAGTCTGAGATCACGATGCTGTCTACATACCAGCCATCCTTGCAGTCAGGGTCTTCTTTCGAAGGTATTCCCCGCCTCCCTTGCAGCTACACAAACTTACCGCTGACCTCTGAAGTTTTTTGCTGGGCAACTTTTGGAGCTTCCTCCCTAATCAGAGGACACACACCGGGGGCTATGATGGGGTCATTCCCAAATGGGGCAACCTCACCCACTCATGGAGGAGAGCAGATATTACTTGTTATGTGAGATAGTTAATGACCCTATCATAAACCTGTCTACCAAAAATAAATAAATAGACCTATTTCTGTAGCCAAACGCATCTTAACTGAGCCGTATGTGACATTTGGAAAGTTCCCTTTTTTCTGTTAGAAGCAAAACTTAAGCGTTGCCTTGCTGGTGAGGGGCTGCATATTATTAGGTAGACTCTCTGGTTCCTTGGTCTAGTATTTTCTTTTTAAAGATTGCTTCTCATCTGAAAATAAATAAGGACAGTGGGGAGTGGGGAGGGAGGGGGAAAATGAGCAGCCGATATTAAGGGCTCAAGTAGAAGGCAAATGTTTTGAGAATGATGATGGCAACAAACGCACATAGGTACTTGACACAATGGATATATGTAAGGATTGTGATAAGAATTGTATGAGCCCCCAATAAAATGATTTCAAAATAAATAAATAAGGACATGTTTCTGTAGGGACACAATGAATTACAGCCCATCAATTAAATACCCAAGTCCTCCCTTAGGACGATGCCCCCTGGAATTTGATTAGTTCCACATTACACAGTTTCATACTGCTCTGTAATGATTCCACACAGGTGAGTAGGATCTTTCCGGCTTGACCCCCACCCACGTCCCACGCCCAAGCAACTCTTTAAAGCTCCTAGAGCAACTTTGATCTAAATTTGATCTAAATTGCCTTAAATGTCAGGAAAGGAAATTGATGCACATGGACCCTGAGAGATGGCCCAACGCACCGAGGTTTCAGGCTGGTTGTGAAGCACAAGCTTCCCACTGCTCTTGCTTCTCACCGTGGTCTTCAGAGGGTGACAGGTTCCCTAGGCTCTCTGAGGGACGCCACAGTGGAAGTAGCCGGGACCTGTCTTCTAGTCTAGGTTTCCCTTTGAACAGCCTTCCCCCCAAATTGTTGTTCCTCGTCTAAGCGCTCAGCTACAGCCTGCTGTTCTGTTTCTAAAGGGCTGACACCTTTTAGGCACAGGCCGATGGCCGAGAGCACAGGATGAGCCGTGGGACCCACGGAGTGGCTGGCCAATGGCAGTTCAGAAGGAAGAGCAGCGGGCAGAACTGCTGTGGTAGAGTGGTGGCCAGACCCCTAAGACGGCAGAGCAGGCTAACTCCCGTCTCGCTTCTGCACTTGCCACGGTGTGACTTTAGAAAGCCTGTGACCCTCAAGTTCTACCCGCCCCCTGTGGCATGCGAATGATCAGAAGTGGTTCCCATTGCCGCGCTATGCCCGACTGGCCCTTGAACATTGAACCAGTGGCTTGGGGGCCTTGGGCTTTTCATCGACAACGTGGGATCGAAAGGTCTACGGAGCAGAATTGGGGTGAGAATTAACAATAGAATATGCTCAGTGCCGGTACACAAAAGGCACTTCCTGAGCAGTCGCTATTATCACAGTTATTCCTTTGTCTCGGAGCTGCTGTTAAGAATGAACGAGATCATGGATATGAAACCTGGTATCCAGTCAATCGGACACACGGCCCCACATCAGGAGAGAGCAGAACTGCCCCCCCCGCCCCCCGGTGTCCCCAAGGCTGTGACTCTTTTTCCTCTGCATTCACAGCCCTCAAGCATTGCACCCCCAAGGCCCCTCAAAATGGAAACCTGAACACACTCAGCTGCTAAGCCCAAGGTCAGAAGGGTGAGCCCGCCCAGAAGCACGCTGGAAGAAAGGTGGAGCTGCCTATCTACTTCTGCAGCACGACCCTTGAACACCTCAGGGCCACAGTTCTGCTGTGACGCGGGTGGGGTGGCCACGCATTGGAGCCGACTTGAGGAAATCAAACAACCAGAGGCCACCATAATGCGGTCTTATGACTGCTGCCCAATGATCCTGCCGGCTGGCGAGGGCCTCTGTGTGCAGCACCTGCTTGTCCCCCACGGCGGTCGGCTCACCTGTCTCGCCAGCATGGAAAAAGTATGGTAGTGTAACGCCTTCCAAGCTTGGGATCAGCAAAGCCTCCTGGTAGTCGTACAGGGTGTGGCCAGTGTCCTCGTGTCCCACCTGCAGGACAGAGAGGAAGGGGCTTGGGGCGTCTGCTGGGCAGGTATCCCACTTGGCTGAGGTGTGCCCTGCGGTCTATAACACGCCTGGGTGTCCTGCCACGACAGCTTGTCACACTGCCCGTTAAGAATGACCGGTAGCAGAGTTGGGAACAAGAAGAAAGTAAAACCTTGCTCCCAAGGCATCCCCCCCTTCTTCACAGGCTTTCTATCTTCTAAGCTCCCGGCCCTCCCACCTCGTCTTCTCGCGACACCTCTGCTGCCCTCCTGAGCTCCTTGCAGGGGGTGCAGGTAGACAGAGGGGAGACAGACAGGAGGAGGAAAGAGCTCGCAAGAGGAAGCAAGAGGGGCAGAAGGAGGGATACCAAGAGAGGCAGAGCAGAGAGAGACAGAGAAGTAGAAAGATCGCAAGACACAAAAAGACCAAGAAAAACTCACTGCCGTGAAGTCAATTCCGACTCACAGCAGCGCTATAGGACAGGGTCGAACTGCCTCCTATGGGTTTCCTAGACTAAATCTTTACAAGAGAGACAGCCTCATCTTTCTCCTTCGGAGCAGCTGGTGGGTTTGAACACTGACCATGTGGTTTACAGCTCAGCGCATACCCGATCGCACCATCAGCGCACCCTTCACAGAAAGAGAGACCAAGGCAGTAAAGGACAGCGAGGGCAAACACCACGTCCACCAGGGGTCAGCGGGGCCAGGAGGAGCCAGGTGCAGCTCAGCCACTCACCACCTGGGGGGCCTTCTTGCCACTCAGAGCTCACTGCTAGCAAGAAAAGCTTTTTCAAATGAAGCCACACATATCCCCAGGGCTCTGAAACTCTGTGCTGGGGATAGGGCTATCTCTGACAAACAAACAAACAAAACAAACAATGCCATCAAGTCGATTTGGACAGAGTGAAACAGATTCTTCGAGTTTCCGAGGCTGTAGATCTTTCCAGGAGCAGACAGCCTTAGCTCTGTTCCTTGGAGAGGTGGGTGGGTTTGAACCCCCAACCTTTTGGTTAGCAGCTCAACATCTCTCACCACCAGGTCGTCTGGATAAATAGCATGCCTCCAACAGAAGCCCAATTTTAATTGATAGAAGTAGGCAGATATCTGGGGGGGAAGTAGGGAGGATCTATTTGTAGAATAAAACAAGCATGGATACTCAATAGAGTCGGATGGAGGGTAGACTTGAAAGGAACTTAAGAGTTTGCAAATGGACCCCTAGCACCTATGGCCCGCCAACCCTGGTGAACGGTGAGTCCGTTAGATGCTCTGGTTTGGGCGTTTCACAAGGTAGAACCTCGATGCTCTAACCCCACTGCAGCCGGTGTCAGAGCCACGCGAAGGGAAGCAGGAGCTGGGGGACCTTGGCCCCTTTCTCCGTTGAGCACTCACCAGGCTCCCAGGAGCTCCGCCTGCGCCCAGATGAATGTCAAGTGATTCCCCAAACCTACTCTTCATGCTCTTGTTGGTTGGAAGGCTAGAGCTTAAGTATCAAACCCATTGCCACCAAATCGATTCCAGTTCATAGCAACCCAAAGGATAGACTACTCCTATGGTTTCTGAGCCTGTAAATCTTCAAAGGAAACAACAGATAGCCTCACCTTTCTCCCAGGGAGAGGCTGGTGGGTTTGAACCGTCAACTTTTCAGTGAGCAGCAGGCTGTTCACCGTCACCCACCTCAACACCAGGGTCCCCGCAGCAGCAGCAGCCATGGGTGGGCAGCTTCAAGAATAGGAGGGGAGGGAGGGAGCTCTTGGGTAATGAGTTTCTGTGTAGGACGATGATGAAGGTTTGGGATTTCACCGTGGTGGGAGTTACCTAACATCGTGACCGTAATTAATGTCACTGCACCGAACACTTAAAAACCGTTCAAGAGACAGCTTTTAGGTCACGTATTCAAGGGGGCTTCAACATTTCCTGGGAAATTTCCAAGGTCTTATTCCGCTCCTCCATACACTTTCCAGAAAGGGTCACTGTGGCTCAACACTGACTTGATGGCAGTGTTTTTGGTTTGGGTTTGGGTTTTTTGGGTGGGGGTGGGGTGGGGCACTGGGCTGTCATATATTACCACCAAAATGATTAAAAGCGGGGCAGAAATGGGATGAAGAAGAAAGAGGGACCTTTTTGCCAGTAGTGAGCTCTGCTTTGGGTTTGATTTTAGCTTTATTCCAAGTCTTGCCTCCTGGCAGGAGCCCTCTGTGCACTTTAGGAGCCAGGATGATGTGATTTTCACAGTCAGACATAGGTGGGCATTTCGGGCTGGAAAAGGGGTCAGAGGGCAAGGGAAGGCGGGGACAAGCCCTGAATTATTGTCCCAACTCCCCGAATTCCTTCCTGATTCTAGAACTTCCCTGCCCCTTCGTGTCCAGCCCTTTCTGCCCTCACTCCTCTTATGGCTGCTGGCCCCTGCAGGCTCCTAGAGGTGGAGAGCCCTGAGCTTCCCAGAACCCACAGCCCCTTCATGGAGAGCTGCCCCCCTCTGGGCCCTTCCTGTGCAGAGTCCAGAGCCCAGAGCCCGGTTACCAGGTCAAACCCTGCCACCATGTCGGGGAAGGCCCTGCGAAGCTCCATGGCCATTCGGACAGATGCTTTGATGAGAGCCGGGTCCTTGGTTCTGAGAGAGAGAGAAGCAGAGAGGGAGCAGGCCAAGAGCCGGAGTGGTTCCCTCCTGGCCCTGGTCTTGCCCATCCCCCAAACATTCCACACCACTGTGGGCATGCCCCAGCCCAGCCAACTTATGGTGGTCCCTTTAAATGACTCTGTGGGTGAGAAATTCCTCTGCAGTCCAACCCTATCCAGGACCCCGCTGGCTCTGTCTTCTCGAGAAGAAGGCCCGTAAGCACACCCTTGGGGGCCGCCAGCCCACATGTGGATAAAGCAGTGTGGCCTTGTCCTGCAGCCCTCAAAGGGTCGCGGGGTCCTGGAAGTGGAGCCTGTTCTGTAGACACCTGTGAAAGGCCACAGGTCACTCGGCAAAGTGACCTCCAGAGCTAGCTGTCTCACCTTCCTTGGACACCCTCTCTGCCCTCCCAGGTCCAGAACTGGGGCCACCAGGACCACACAAGCTCCACAGACCAACGGTGGGCAAGACTCCATGACAGGGCGGATGAAGATCTCTGCTCAATTCTGTGGGGACCATCCTTGTCCTGTGCCCAGCCCCTGCCCAGCAGAGCGCTGAGGGAGTGCAGGCGGTATAGCTCACCCTCTGCCCCAGGCCCTGGAGGTGACAACCGGCGCCATGGAGCTGGGGGTGGCACCAGCTGGGCCCCCCGTTCTGCAAACTCCGTCCTGGGCCCGTGAGGACACCAGGACAGGGTCCCACTCCTGCCGAGCCCTAGGTCCCCACAAGGACGGGAGGGGAGTCAAGGAGGGCCAGGGAGTCTGCAGGCTGCAGGGAGAACCAACCAAACTGAAAATCCGTTTCTGGGGATTCGATTCTGACTGGTGACGGCCCACCACCCCGTGTGGGAAGTACAACTGCACCCTGGGCTTTCCGTGCTGTGACCTTCTGGAAGCAGATCACCAGGCCTAGGTGCGGGTGAGTGGGTTGGCACGGGTCAGCAGTCTACAGCTGCAGTTTTCACCACCAGGGCCTCCTAGCTGCAGGGAGCCCCTAGTGAATGGAGGCCCAGCCGCCGGGATGTACCCTCCTTGCCCCATCTGGAGTGACCCCATTTGACTGCTCCTGCCCCTGGGTCTCCAGACATGTCCACGAGGAACGAGTTCTTCACGTGGTGAGCTAAGAAGGCAACTGCAGTCTGTAAAGCTCTCTGCACGCACCTTGGCAAGGCGGTCAGCCCTGTCTTCAGATGTACACGCACACACCAAGCCCCTGGCTGCCCACTATCAAGCTGACTGCCTCCGAGCGACCCTGCACACCTCACCCCCCCTTTCTCCCCTCCTCTCCCCTCTCAGCCTGTCTTATACCTGCATCCCACACTCCCACCTGTGGTCAGAGTAGATGAGTTTGAGTCCCATGAACTCAGGATGGTCCTTGGCGAATTGCGCAGCCACTTCCTGGTACGCCCTCACGCTCCACTCTTGGTCGTGGGTCTTCCCGTTTAGCTCGTACACCTTTGAGGAAGACAGGGC